GAATTTCGAGAACGTCGCGGTAATTCGAAACAAACACTTGCCGCGAGCAAAGTCGCTTTCATCAGACTCGATTTCTGCGATGGCATCGCAGGCCATCGAGCACAACGAATGCATAGAAATTATATTTCGTAGAATGCAATTGACCTTGATTCCCGAAACCGAGGATCGTTTACGCACGGCGGCCGTGGACTTTCTTTGGCCACCGAAGACCATTAATATCATTAATACCATTACAATTAACGAGAGAAAAGGGAACGCTGTGAAACGAGCCGCGATGTCAAAAGCACTACGGTGAAACTCCAGCATAACTTGTGCATTAAACTTGCCACTTAGATACAAGCTTGCATGTATGATGACTTGGTCTCGCTTGGAAATCAGTCAACTTCGAGGGAAAAGAAACAGAAATCCGTGGCAATAAAATTTCGAAGAGAAGAAGGAAAGGAGTATCGTGTGCGAATATCCGCGATAGACAGAATCGATGAAACTATTCGATTGAAACTATTTTTAGAAGAATGACAAATGGAAGATACAACGACGATTTCTTTCGGTGAAAGACGTGGATCACCTTCGGTAACGAAGCCGAATCTGCACGAAAAGAAAAACCGTAGAAAAACTGGCCTCGTTGCTGCACGCAAAGCCGAATGTGGATCACGGAAGAAGGACCTTCTTCTTCTTCAGGGCCTCGTGAGAAAGACCGGCCGACGAAGCTTGTGTCGTGAGACCGGGGAACAATGTGCACTTTTCATTGCAATTATTCCGCGCTAACAAACTCTCCTTTTGCCCCGGCAGCGAATGAGAAAGGCTCTCTGCTTTCTTGGATTTCTTGGCTCGGTTTATCGCGCCTATTTAAAGGGGGGGGGGTGGGTTCTCTCTTCGCTTTTAACGAAAACTGGCTTTCCCCCATCAACGGGACGGGAGGAAAGTAAGGAGGACATTGATAAATAATCGTTGCGTCTTCCTCTTCAAAAGAGGAATTCTTCATTTTCTGTCAATTTAAATATCGGAATGGTTGACCCAGAGAGTTGGAGAGAAGAAGCGATCGACTCGATAAAAATCCAATTTGTGCGCTGGATAGATGCTGCCTCGGTGTTTGTGCTTTGAAATCAGTTGGAATATTTCAGAGAGTGTGTTCACCTGTCCTCTTTATCGTTATTCAAGAATTCATGTAATGCACGAGCCTCGTCTCGAGAGTGGAAGACGATAGAGAGATTTAGAACCCAGATTCAAATCGACAGTCGGAACTTGATGATGGCCGAGGAAAAAGTAGGAAGCGGAATCCAGTCATTTTCTAGTCAGTGTGTCGCTGATTGGGGGGGG